TATATACACACACACGCACACACACACACACACACACATATATTTTGTAGAGACAGGGTTTTGTCATGTTGCCCAGGCTGGTCTCGAATTCCTTGGCTTAAGCGATCCTCCTTCCAAGTAGCATGAGCCACCATGCCTGACTAATCTTTTTTTTTTTTTTTTTTTTTTTGTAGAAATGGGGTTTCACTGTTTTGACCAGGGGTATAGGTGTGAGCTACTCTTCCCAGCCTCTACATATTAAATAACTATATTTTTTGGATTATAGCTATGCCTCATTTTCTTAACACCAAAGTCTAACAATAGACATAAAGGTCAAAGTCTAGATCTCATGTATTTTTTTAAAATCTTTAGTTTGTTGAACACAATAAACAATAAATAAACATCTGCCCAACGAATCTTTATATTGACCATAACTGCTTTGCCTACATAACACTGTAGCATAGCACGAACCTATAGAATGTGTTCTTTCCTCATTCTCAAAATGCTTTTGCAGCCACTAAGGTGATATAAAATTAGTCAAGGTGTGCCACCTAGTGGCATTTTAAGGAACTATTCATTTTTACATGAATGATAGTTTACCATTCATCTATTATCCTAACACAGGCTAGAAAGAAATTGAAATTTGTTGATAATCTGAAAATATCATTATAACTAGTAGCATGAATCTTCACCATCACAATTTGAACCAAAGTAATTAGTTAAAAAAAGAAAACCTTTTGATTTGAGGCCTTTTATACATTTGATTAATCAGACTCCAGCAGTTAATTTAATTTCATATCCTGATTGGCTTACTATTAATTGAAAACTTGATTGGTTTCTATCTCCAACGTAGATTATATTAAATCACAATCACCAGTTATAATTATGTAGCATCACAGAAAAAGAAAGGAAAAAAATGATTCTCACTCCAGGCCATGCATTGCAGTCCCCTGGAGAGATTAAAATAACAACTCTGTAAAGGTCTGAGGTGGCACCCAAACATTCAAAAGCCCCTGGATGAATCCAATGTTCAGCCAGGATTGAGATCCTGACCAGTGGTATAAGAGATGGGGTTGAATCGAGAGTGGTCTTTTCCCCCAAAAGAAAAAAACATTAACAAGGAATTATTGAGCTGTGATTTATCTTTTTTTAATCAAAAAATATAGAAGAAACTCCAGTAAGATTTTAGTAGGCTTTACCTTAATACATGTTTTGCTTTAATTCTTCTATTTATCCTTTTCATAGAGGTGCCATTAAATAGAAAAATAGCCAAAAGACTCAATCACAGGCTAAAGATGTTATTTAGACATGGTATTTCAATCAGGATTTTTTTTTAAACTTCATCTTTGAACATCCTACTCAGACATCATCTTCTATTCCAGTAGTCCAGTCCATTCCATTTGTGGGGTCCTTTTAATCCTCGGGACTGCTGAGACATGAGGTCAATGCCAGCCCAGCCTTAGCTATTTGGATTCACTCAACAGATAGGGACGAGAACCCCCAGGGAGCTTCAGGAATATTGTCATAACATAATTCTTAAGTTTAGTGGGAGATTTGTTGGTGTTCATGTTATTATGCTCCATAACTTGAATTTAATATAAATATATTCTGTGGTATATATCAAATGTTTCAAAAAAAGTAAAGAACAACTCCAAACCCTAGAATGGTGCTGGAAGTTTAATTCCCTCAAGTAAGACACATTTAAGGAACAGTCTGATCTTCCAAAACTGCTGTAGATGAGGATGTTCCTCTCTAGGCTACCCCAGGAAGGATCAGAACTCAAGTATCTCTAGGGTTAGAAGGCTGGTTCAACCATATTGGAATATAGTCTCCTGCTTACCCTTTCTTGAAATTAGAAATAAAGTGTATCATGACCAACAAGAAAAACCTAGTCACCTTAAGCAACACATGTTGGGAGAGTCAATCCACCATGAGCCAAGTCTTCCTGCACAATCTTGCTGGTTAGGACAAGGTCACAAGCCCTGACTGCTTGTAGCTGGGCCATTTCCCAGAGTTGTGTTTGCAGTAAGCAACCTTGAGGGATGAGATTCTGTAACTGTGTTTTTTCTTGGATGCCGGTGATCATTGTGGGTTCTTGGCCTCCAACCTCTTTTTTTTTTTTTTTTTTTTTTTGAGACGGAGTTTCACTCTTGTTACCCAGGCTGGAGTGCAATGGTGCAACCTCGGCTCACCGCAACCTCTGCCTCCCGGGTTCAGGCAATTCTCCTGCCTCAGCCTCCTGAGTAGCTGGGATTACAGGCATGCGCCACCATGCCCAGCTGATTTTTTGTATTTTTAGTAGAGACGGGGTTTCACCATGTTGACCAGGATGGTCTCGATCTCTTGACCTCGTGATCCACCTGCCTCGGCCTCCCAAAGTGCTGGGATTACAGGCTTGAGCCACCGCGCCCGGCTGGCCTCCAACCTCTTAAGGAATAAGTGGTGGGGCCACTGCAGGTGGGCCATATGCTCGTAAAGCGAATATCGGACCCAAAAAGTGTTGCAGAAAGGTGATTTTATTTAGGTAGAGAAAGAAAGGAGGAGAAGAGAAAGTCTTCCACAAAGAGTGTGGAAGAGGATTCCAGAGGGGAAATCCGTCCAGGTGTGTGGGATAGGACATTTATCCTGGGAGGAACCCCCACCTTCTCCAAGACCCTGGGCCAATGAAAGGAGTTCCTTAGAACTTCCGCTGGAGTCATTTTTTAGTTTCTTCCCGCGCCCGCAAAATTCAAACATAAACCCTTGAATCTCCTGGATGGAGAGAGATGGGAGTGGGGCATGGCACCAGGAAATTTTTGCCCTTAAAGCTACACCCCCTCATGGACCCAGATAGAGAACACATTCCCTCAGTACCGTCTCCTTCCAATCCAAGAGCAGACCTTCCCGCCATTCATGATAAAAGTGATAACAGGCTCAAAGTTCCTCGCCTACGTCACAAACCCAGCGCATCCATCCCAGCATCCAACTAGGCTCTCCTTCATCTCCTCTATGGGACTTGGAGTGCATGCCCCTTCCTGTGCTACGAGTAATAAAGTCTTCTGCTAGCATCCATGAAATAATAACAGGCCAATTTACTACAGCAGTCCCCCCTTATCCACAGTTTCATTTTTCACAATAGTTTGAGTTACCCCTAGTCAACCTCAGTCTGAAAATATTAAATAGAAAATTTCACAAATAATTCATAATTTTTAAATTGCCTATCATTCTGAGTAGTGTGATAAAATCTCCCACCATTCCAGCTAGGACATGAATCATCCCCCTGTCTAGTGTAGCCAAGCTGTACACACTATCTACCTGTTAGTTACTTAGTAGCCATCTCAGTTATCAGATCAGCTGTCACATCATCACAGTGCCTAGTGTTCAGGTAACCCTTGTTTTACTTAACCACAGCCCCACAGTGCAACAGTAGTTATGCTGGCAATTTGGATATAACAAAGAGAAGACATAAAGTGCTTCTTTTAAGTGAAAGAGTGAAGTTCTCAATAAGAAAAAAAATCAAGGATTCCCCAGCAAGATGGCCAAATAGGAACAGCTCGGGTCTACAACTCCCAATGAGACCAACGCAGAAGGTGGGTGATTTCTGCATTTCCAAAGGAGGTACCCAACTCACCTTATTGGGACTAGTTAGCCAGTGGGTGCAGCCCACGGAGGGTAAGCTGAAGCAGGGTGGGGCATCGTCTCACCTGGGAAGTGCAAGGAGTTGGGGAACTCCCTACCCTAGCCAAGGAAAGCTGTGAAGGACCATGCCATGAGGGATGGAGCCATCTGGCCCAGATATCATGCTTTTCCCATGGTCTTTGCAACCCACAGACCAGGAGATTTTCTCAGGTGCCTACACCACCAGGGCCCTGGGTATTAAGCACAAAACTGGGTGGCTATTTGGGCATACACCAAGTTATCTGCAGGAGTTTTTTGTTTTTGTTTTTGTTTTTTTGCACCACAGTAGCACCTGGAGTGCAACGAGACAGAACTGTTCACTCCCCTGGAAAGGGGGCTGAAGCCAGGGAGCCAAGCGGTCTTGCTCAGTGAATCCCACCTCTACAGAGCCCAGCAAGCTAAGCTATACCGGTTTGAAATTCAGGCAGCACAGCAGTCTGAAGTCAACCTGGGATGCTCGAGCTGGTCGGGAGAAAAAGCCCATCTGACAAAGGGCTAATATCCAGAATCTACAAGGAACTTAAATTTACAAGAAAAAAAAAGAACCCTATCATATCCTTCAAAGGGTGAAGGATATGAACAGACTCTTTTCAAAAGAAGACATTTATGCGGCCAACAAACATATGAAAAAAAAAGCTCATCACTGGTCACTAGAGAAATGCAAATCAAAACCACAGTGAGATACCATCTCATGCTAGTTAGAATGGCAATCATTAAAAAGACAAGACACAACAGATGCTGGAGAGGATGTGGAGAAATAGGAACACTTTTACACTGTTGGTGGGAGTGTAAATTAGTTCAACCATTGTGGAAGACAGTGTGGCGATTCCTCAAGGATCTAGAACTAGAAATACCATATGATCCAGCAATCTCATTACTGGGTATATACCCAAAGGATTATAAATCATTCTACTATAAATACACATGCACATGTATGCATAAAGCAGCACTATTCACAATAGCAAAGACTTGGAACCAACCCAAATGCCCATCAATGATAGACTGGATAAAGAAAATGTCACACATATACACCATGGAATACTACGCAGCCATAAAAAAGAATGAGTTCATGTCCTTTGCAGGGACATGGATGAAGCTGGAAACCATCATTCTCAGCAAACTAACACAGGAACAGAAAACCAAATACCCCATGTACTCACTCATAAGTGGGAGCTGAACAATGAGAACATATGGGCACAGGGAGGGGAACATCACACACTGGGGCCTGTTAGAGGGTGGTACCAAGGGGAGGGATAGCATTAGAAGAAATACCTAATGTAGATGACGGGTTCATGGGTGCAGCAAACCACCCTGGTACATGTATACCTATGTAACAAACCTGAACATTCTGCACATGTATCTCAGTATAATAATTTAAAAAAAGAAAAATATCATATGCCTAAGATGCACAGTACAATAAGATATCTTGAGAAGACAATATACAGATAACTTATTATATTGTTATAATTATTCTATTTTTGTTATTGTTAATCTCTTACTGTAGTTAATTTATAAATTAAACTTTATCATAAGTATATATGTCCTAGGAGAACCATAGTATACATAGGCTTCAGCACTATCCATGATTTCAGGTATTGAATGGGGTTCTTGGACCATATCGCCCACAGATAAGGAGGACTATCGTTGTTTGCAAGCAGCATAAAATCCCAGACACTTTACATGGCCTGATAGTTTTGGTGACAAAGGTGAGATGCTCATAGAGATATCTGACTTTCTGGAAAAGAAGGGACAGGGCCCTGGGTGGCTGGGTTAGAGGACGTGAGAAGATTCCCAGAGATATGGTAGTAAATGCTCTTGCCTAGATGGTGGTGAGGATGGGGAAGTAGAATAAGGGTTATTCACTGTCCTATGTGTTAAATGTGGTTGAACAACAAAAGGTAGGGTTGAAACATGGTGTCCTAATGGTGCTTTGGTGGTGGCATGCTCCCCTCTGGGGTGGGAGAAGGGAAGGATGTTATCATGACACTGGAGCAGCAAGCCCCATGCTCCAACCAAAAGACAAGGCCACATGGCTATGGCTACTCAATCTAGGGATTCCCTAAAGCGGAAACAAATGGTGTCAGCAATGAGGGTAGAGAATTGTGGGTAGACTAAAAGCATCAGAAACTTGTTTGTTGAGCCCAGTGGCAGGAGGTCACTTGAAACGGAAAGTAAATACAAAACCTTGCTTACTAGCACTGAGCCGCAGTCTCTCTCCACTCCCTTACCCCTCCCCGGCATCTTCTCCAACTTCTGATGCTTTATGGAAGTATCCTGGGGAACATTAGCAAAGGGAGGGACTCAAACTTTCATGGCTCTGTTGGACTGGACAGGGGTGCCAAAGTCTACTTGGTCCCAGGGAAGGCAAGAATGCTAAGCATTGGGGTGGCCCAGAGCTCCAAAGACTGAAGGGCTGTGCAGTGGCACCAGCAAAGGCTGAAATAATGATGGCTCTGAGCGGCAGTTCTCTCCAGAGCCAGAGAACACAAGAGAGGAAGCAGCACCCATTCTGGAACGAGAAGCCAAAGGACAAAAAGTCCTCCCTGCCCCTTTACACTCTGATTTCTCCCCTAGCTGGAGAAATTTCCTAGCTGGAGACAGCATAATCTCTTTAAACTATGACCACCCTTGAAATACGTATGTTAAACTCTTTGGTCTCCGTTCTTTTATTATCATTGTTTTGTTTTTTTGAGATAGGGTCTCGCTCTGTCACCCAGGCTGGAGTGCAGTGGCATGATCACGGCTTGACCTTCCTGGGCTCAAACAATCTTCCCACCTCAGCCTCCTATGTAGCTGGGACTATAGGCGTGTAATACCATGCCTGGCTAATTTTTTAAAAATGTTTTAATGGAGAAGGAGTCTCACTATGTTGCCCAGGATAGTCCTGAATTCTTGGACTCAAGCAATCCTCCTGTCTTGGTCTCCCAGTGTGCTGGGATTACAGTGAGTATCATGCTTGGCCCTGTCTGTGTTCTGACTAGGCAGGAGAAAGTACCTGAATTCAACTGATAGAGTGTGAGCCAACTTCACAGCAAGGAAGAAAAATTAAAGGGACCTTTAGCCAATTCAAGATACTGTGACGTGTATCAACACTCTCCCTCCTGGCTACATACAAATGTACAATGACATTGATGCATTACATGCTTGTATTATAAAACTCACAGTGACTAGAAGGGACTTCCCAGTCAGGGATTCCCAGACCCTTTCCAGGTGGTCTAACAGAAACATAGAATCCCAGGGAGAAAGAAAAATCATCAAGCTCCAGTGAGACCACTGCACAGTACAGCAGCACCACCTGCTGGGCACAGGCACCAAATACATCCTGTATTAGTTTGCTGGGGCTGCCATAACAAAGGACCACAGACTGGATGGTTTATGCAGCAGAAATGTATCGTCTCTCGTCTGGAGCGGAGAAATCTAAAATCAAGGTGTTTGCAGAGTTTGTTCCTGGCTAAGGCTGTGAGATAAGCAACTGTTCCAGGCCCCTTTCCTTGGCTTGTACACAGCTGTCTTCATATTCACATTGTATGCTCCCAGTGAATGGTCCCAGTATGAACTGTATGGTCCTGTGTCCAAATTTCTTCTTCTCATAAAGCCATCAGTCACCCTGAATTAGAGCCCATTCTAAGGACCTCATTTTAATTTGATTACCTCTATAAAGACCCTATCTCCAAACAAGTTCACATTCTGAAGTACTACGGGTGAAGGCTTCAACATATGAATTGGGAGGGACACATTTCAACACATAACAGAAAGGGGAAGCAATCATTGGTCTGCTGCTGAGCTCTAGTTAAAAATGAACTCCTGGCTCATGGAGGCTTGTAACTCCCAGGCCTGAGGTCTCCATTTTGGGGTGGGTCAACCAGGACATGACAACTACAAGGAAAGTAGCTCCCACACTCTCCCCCTGCCACAATCCACCCCTTGCTCATGGTCCACTGTGAAAGCAGTAGGTTCCCTAAGCTCGATGTTACTCAGCTGTAACACAAACCCTCTGAGTGCATAGCTGTCACTGCAGCCATGCCTATCTTTGTCACCTCACTGAGTTTTGGTGGATGTGGGGAATTAACACCACCACGCTCATGCTGCTTGCTGTGCTTTGAGTGATAAAGCTCTGACTCTGATGTAGGTGTCTCCAGTCTTCTGTAACAGGCTAACATGTTACCTTGCAAGTAAGGTAAAATCCTAGACCCTTCACAAATCCTGACATCATGGGGACCAACATAAGAGTAAAAACCCTGTAGTTTCCAAAGGTCTTTGACAAGGACATGCTAAGCATTCAACACTTGGCTGATTTGTAAACCTAATACTTGGTCTCCCCTAGATCACTGCTCTGTTACAGTAATTCAGTTGTCCATTTTTTCAACTGTTGCGTAACTTATGTTTTTAATGACTCTTGTCAGTCATTAAAAACAACAGTAACAACAGCAACAAATACTTATGGGGTGAAAGCATTTTTCTAAAAACTTGAGGCATTATTCTATATACTATATTTCATCTTTAATCTTTAAAACATCCCTCTGAAAGGAGTATTATTACCACCAGTGTACAGATCAGGAGACTGAGGCACAAGTCACACAGTTAGTCAAGGGCGGGACTAGGATTCAAACCCAGGCAGTCTGGCTTTAGTCCTCATTTTTAACCACTAGCTTCATGCCTTACAGGAGGGCGTTCTACTCCCAGGGCCATACTGGGCCACAGAGGCCTAGATATCTTTGTCTGAACTCTTAGGAAAATAATTCAGGTCAAACTTAAGACTTGATTTTTTGACTTGCAACATTTTAAAATGTTTTTTACAACCTGTATTAGGCAATTAGATAATCTTCTGAAGTGCTTTGATCTTTTCTGTCAAGCCATTGTCTAAATCCAATGTTAAGATTTCACACTTCATGTTAGTTTCCTATTGCGGCTATAACAACTTATATAAAATTAGTGGTTTAAAACAACACCAATCTATTATCTTATAGTTCTGAGGTCAGAAGTCCAAAATGGGATGGTAGGACTGCATCCCTGTGAGGGGTCTACAAAATAATCTGTTTCTTTGCCTTTTCCAGCCTGTAGGATCTTCCTGAATTGCTTGACTCATGACCCTTGCGGAATCTTCAAAGTCAGCAGCGTAGCATCTTCAAATCTCTCTAACACTGACTCTCATGCTTTCTTCTTTCTCTTATAAAGACCCTGTTGGGCCAGGAACACATACCTGTAATCCCAGCATTTTGGGAGGCTGAGGCGGGTGGATCATTTGAGGCCAGGAGTTTGAGACCAGCCTGGCCAACATGGCGAAACTTTGTCTCTATACAAAAATTAGCCAGGAGTGATGGCGCAAGCCTGTAATCCCAGCTACTTAGGAGGCTGAGGCACGAAAATCACTTGAACCTGGGAGGCAGAGGTTGCAGTGAGCCAAGCACTCCAGCCTGGGCAACACAGTGAGACTCCACCTCAAAAGAAAAAAAACAAAAAAAGGCCTTTGAGATGACAATGAACCCATCTGCATAATCCAGGATAATTTCCCCATCGCAAACATTATCTTTGGGGGTAGGGGGCATGAGTCTGTGTAACACATACTCTAAGCAGTTATCTCTTCCTGCAGAATGGAAGTTTTTACACAAATTTATCTGGATTGGAGATTTAAACTAGCCCACTCACCAGATAATTAGTAATCCATTTCATCTTGGTTTTGAGGATGCAGCCCAAGAACATTTTATTTTGGGGGATCAAAGAGAATATAGGGTTGAAACACATGTGGTAGAAACTTTAAACATTGTAACATAATAGCTTAATTATTTTAAAACATACCTGAAGTCGAGCATTCATAAGCATGAACTCCTTTTGATTTTTCATGTTTTCATTCATAGATTTTGAAAATATAAACCCCATCTTGACCTAAAATTTTAAAAAAGCAAAGAGATGTCTAATAATATACTACATGCATCCTTGTGTGCTCTGCTTTGAGCTACCTTGGGCTTATGACAAAGTAAAAAAAAAAAAAAAAAAAAGGAAAATTTCTGATCTAGCCACACCACAGTGTGGATTCTATTCCTTGCTCCCAACTAGCTGCCTGACCTCAGGTATACTTAAAGAGTCTGGCCATCATTTTACTCACCTAACACCAACTGACTGAACTGGATAATTTCCAAAATCTTTCCCTGCTCTGTAAGTATGTGGCTGTTTCCTGATTTTTTTTTTTCATCATAAATCTTGAAGAACTGAATTCTTGAAGAAAAAAACAACTCGCTTTTTTCGTGAGGGGCAGGGTGGATACCATCCAGCCTCTTACCTCCGTACAGTTAGACACCAGAACCTTTGCATCTGAGGAAGGGTGATTCAGAAGATGCCTTGTGCATCTTGAGAACATATTTCTTTGTGCTCTTTACATTTTCATTTTAAGAAGATTGAGCTGTCTGAAGGTCAATAAATCAGCTATTCTTCCTATTATCCCACCACAGTCTCTGTCCGTCTCCTTCATGCCTCTTATTTCCATCCACCCACTGCTGACAGCCTTAACCATCCTCCTTCCTCCAGCTTCACTTTCAGTCTCTCCAAGCTAGTATGTACTAAAGTCCTCAAAAATGGAAAAACATACAATACTTAAACATCCTGGGAATGGACTTTTTAGACGAATACACCGTAGTGTCTATCTTATATAAGTTTTTAAGTGGGCTGTCAACTCTACATGAAACAGAACTCCAATTTTTGTTCTTAATCCAACTGCGTGGGTAAAGAAGATCTTGAGTTAGTTGTTGGTTGCATTTCATAATATTGAAAAACTCCGGGAAAGTTACAACTGCTCTACCCTTCTCAACAATGTTGCTGATATCTTTTCTCTTTAGCAGGCTGTTGAGTAGGTTTATGAACCTTAGGTAAGAACAGCCAGTCCTAATTCATTATAGCCAGGATTCACAAGTATTCTGTGGGAAGCCCAGACAGAGCTTCTGCTTTATATATCCTCAGCAGGAATTTCTGGGTTCTGGCCGAGAAGATGATGAGGAGAGAGGGTATTTCATGTCGTGATAGATGGGTTATCCCTGCTAACGGGATTCCAGGTGACTGGGAGCTGTAAGCAAGACTTCAGTGACTTCCTTGTATTCTGGGCAAGGACACACCCTGGAGTTTCAGGGCTCTGTGCTGAAACAATTTCAGCTACCTCCTCTTGCTCACAAAATACATGTCAGCTTCAAAGCTGAGCACAGAATACCAAACCACTTACCAGGATGAAGAGGCACAGTGCTGAACAGGCCTGAGGTGGTGAGGTTTCCCTCCTCCTCTGCCACTGTGCCACTCCAGCACCCTGTGACCAGAGTTAGAGGCCACTCACTGAGAGCAGGGCGATTTGGCAGTTCTTTCCTTTCTCCAAACCTTGACAGCCCCATGTGACTCATCTCTAACAGCAGACCAGAATCTGCCTGAGGTTAGGAGCAAGATATTATTCATCTTGACAGTTTCCTTCATGTCTACTTCCCTTAAATGTTTACACAAAGCATGAGAGATGTAAGAAAAACTGTGGCTCAGGCCACTTCCCAGTCCTTATTTTTCTTCTGCACACAGGAGCGGATAACTACATTTTTACACCTGCGGCAAACATTTATAAAGAAAATAACTGTCCTCTAGTACCATTCCTCCACACACCCTGTATATCACAGAGCTGTGTGCTTTAAAGTGCTCCTGTTTATAAGGGGGTGGGATCGCCCCTGAAAAGGGAGACAGTCCTCATGTCAGTCATCTGGGAAAGAAACCCTGTCTAGGAAGTTAGTATTTAGACTTACCTCTTTCTGGGCCTTGCTTTCTTGGGTCTGGACTCGTAGTTTGAGTGTGTTGGAGGACGCTCCCAGGTGGAAGGGTTAAAGGTGAAAGCCAAGCAGGAAGAAGAGCTTCCTTATGGGAAACAACACCTGAGAATAAATGTACCACACCTTGTAAATTTCACCCTGGAGTTCCCTATTTTCAACCTCCTCTCCTTTCCCAACTTCCCCATTCCTGACAGTCATTTCCCAAAGTCTAGGAATATTCCCTAGGGTGTCCAGAATGCTTTCAGCTATCTCCTCTTGCTCACAAAATACATATCAGAAAGTAAACAAAAGTTGACCTTGCAATAGGGATAACTTTGATTTCACACATTTGCATAAGGTAAGTCTTTAAAAAATTCTAACACTTTTTACCATGGGTAAAAAATGTCTTGCTACTTATACAGTTTAAACATCACTGTGTCTCAGAGTGGTGCTTTGCAGAGAATGCTGATTTCAATCCCTCTGCCTTCATTTTCCCTTTGATTCCTTCTGAGATCTTGAAAGGGGTCTTTAATGCTTCAGCCCTGCCTCAGGTGAGCTATGGATTACTATGGAAAGGTGTATTTCTTGGGGGGTGGGGGGAGGTGGAGGCTGCAAGTTCCACACAGCCTTTTTTTCTGGTCACCCCTGAGTACCTGCATTTGATTTTACTTGGTGGGGCGGGGGGGATTAATTCCATGAATTGTCATCGGAATTACTGCGCTGACTTACTTCCTAATCAAATGACACAATACCTAAATGTATGACTGACCGTCTCACCACAATCACTTTCCATAAATATTTGCATTACATTCAAACTAAGCCACTTCCCCCAGCAAATACCAGCTCGGAGCCTACAGCTTCCGGAGGTTTTCTTAATTACCACCACCCTCACACTCCCCAAGGCCAATTACTGTAATTTAGGTATTTCCCGCAATGATGTGCTGATTTCTGTTGATAGCACTCTGCCAGTTTTTCTCAACTCTGTTATAACGCTACGGAGAGATCCCGAGTCCACTCCAGGCGACAAGAACGCACTCTAATGGAATGAGGTTGGCAATACCTATCAGCACCAGGGGCAGTGCGAGAGCCAAGGGCCGGCGCTCACGAGGAGCGGGCGCTCAGCGCGGCCTGGCAAGCCCGGAGCGCAGGAGATCCCGCTGGCTGACGTGGCCGGGATGATCCTTCCCCCACCCGCCTGCGGCCGGTGTTCACTCACTGGGCAGCGGAGGCGCGAGGACCAGGCGGCCCGTGCAGTGGCCCCCAGGCCCGGGGTCCTTTCGCCCGCGTCAGGGACCCGGCCTCGCCCCACCCAGCCTCGGGATTGGAGCCGAGCCATAATAGATGACGTGCCTCAGCCAATCCGCGCAGCCGTCGGCTTCTTTAAAGGGCCAGCACGCCTACGGGAGAAGCCTGGTGTGTTCTTCCGGGAGAGGCGCCCGGCGACCGGATGTGGGGGGGCAGGCTAAAAGGGGCAAATTAAAAACCGCCGCAACTCACCTGCCAGTTTTTTGAGAGGAGGCCGAGGAAGTGGAGTGGAATTCTCAGTTATAATGCCTCTGTTCCCTTATCTGTTAAATTGCCACTATTAAAGAAGCATAAAGATAAGCCGAGAACGAAAAAGAACAGACTTGACCAAAATTACTCATTCTCTTTTGGACAGAACCGTCTTTCTTCCCTGGTGCTATGAGAGATGTCTGTCTCGTCTCAATCTCACTAGCAATTTCTATCTTGAGTAAGCCAAGTTTCTCTCCCAGCCTCATTGAGAGAATACTTGAATTGTTGGCCCTCTGTTCTTTGCTCCCAAATGGCTTGGAAAAATAGCATGAACTTCATCAGTCTTGGGCCTTCAGGAAGGTCGCTGTTCACCACCACAGCGGCGGAGAAGTCATGTAACCTCCTCTAGGCTCAGCCTGTGAGTGAACACCGCCCTGACCTCCTGGGCGCGTCCTGATGCTCTCAACAGCAGCCCTCAGGATTCTGGAGCATGGGTCCCACATTCCAGATACTATTTGTTGGATGGCTGGATGGGGAAATTGCAACAGCATCTCTTCTCCAGTTGTGGGAATGGGCGGGTTACCAGGAGGAAAGCCTTGTGGAGCTTTGACACTCTTTAAGGGAGGTTAACAACTGGTACAAGAAGTAAGGAATCGTATTTGAGTGCACAGACTTTAGCATCAACACACCTACCTTCAATTTCTAGGTCTGTCATTGTCACTCTGTGACTGTCACCTGTGCAATAGGACTAAAGCCATCTATAGAGTTGTGAGGACTAAATGAGATAATATACGTAGGCACTTAGCACAGTGTCTGGCACATAGCCTTCAATAAACAGTAGTAACCAGTAACAGCAGGGAGCTGTTACTAACTCTAGGGCTGAGGGGATGGGGGAAGGGAGGAGTTACTAAAACCAGGCGAGATCGGTAGCTGTGGTTGTAGGAGAGAGTAATCAACTGGAACTATGTTGTTAAGTAGAGGAAAGCAAGCAATGCCAACTTTTCACCAAGTAGGGTGAGATTCTATAGTTGTAGCCAATGCTAGGACCAAAGCAGGGACAGAGTGGAGGAGACCCAGCTCTCTGTTCTCCCAGCTCTGATATCCAACTAGGGTCTTCCATTGGCTGGATCCACCAGGAAGCCAGAAGACAAGGGAGCTAGGTCTATGCAGGCTATGGAGGTCAGCCTCCTGGGCACAATGCCTGGAGGGATAAATAGAAAATACCCAGCACATCATTTCTACAAGCTTGGGCTTATTGTGTTTGGAAGCCTAGATCCAAAGGAAGAAATGCTTCCGCTAGAGGACCCAGTCACTGGATTGAATGGAACTGAATTACAATTCATTAAATTGAAAGCTGAAACTGCCCTCTGGTCATTTTGGTTCCCCATAGTGGTAGAATGGGATGATTGATCCCAATTACCAACGGGAAATTGGGTTACATCTATATATTGAGGGCATGAGAAGTACGAATGACACCTAGAGATTCACTGGGCACTTCTTAACCCTACCATGTACAATAATAATGATTATCAGATAACCGAATTGATGCAGAAATTTCAGGTCATCATTGGTTGGGAGTGGCAGCTCACACCTATGATCCCAGCACTTTGGGAGGCTGAGGTGGGCAGATCACCTGAGGCCAGGAGTTCGAGACAAGTCTGACCAACACAGTGAAACCCCGTCTCTACTAACAATACAAAAATTAGCTAGGCGTGGTGGCCTACACCTCTAGTTCCAGCTACTCAGGAGGTTGAGATGGGAGAATCGCTTGAACCCAGGAGGCGGAGGTTGCAGTGAGCCGAGATGATGCCATTGCCCTCCAGCCTGGACAAGAAAGTAAGACTGTCTCAAAAAAATAAAAATAAAAAATTTTGAATGGATATGATCATGTCAAATGCAGCTACTTATATAGGGTCTTTCCTCTCCTGTATTAGTATACATTCTGGTTTTAGACTTAAAATGTAAGGTACGTCTTCAGCAAATTATGAAGAAACATTGCTTCACAGGAGTCATTTTGGTTATGGAGTATCATTATTTTATACTCCATTAATTATATAACTCTAGCCAGCCATGTCTTCCACCACACAAACCTATATATTCCAGGTTTGTTTACAGTAAAACCAACCTGGATATATCCAGGTGTATCCTGCGCCAAATTTTTGCTGATAAGGAGTTGACAAATACCTTTAGTGTGTTTACCAAGAGGTCAGGTTATTAGCATGTTTACAAGGAGTTTGTGTTGATGCCATTTGATTCTTTTCTTCCTAGATTTATTTTGAGTACAATAAAACTGAAACTCCAAGCCCCACAAAACTCCCTTGCCAATAAAATCGGTCTCTGCTCAAAAAAAAAAAAGAAATTTCAGGTCATGCAGAAATTCAAGTGTTGATGCACCATACCAGGAAAAAAATCCTGATCTACCTAGGTGCTGGCATAGGGAAAGGAAAACGTAAGTAAATGAGTAGGAAGCTATGATTATTAATTTTAGCCTTGCAACAAGCTATAGAGGCAGAAATTCTAGTAGCTCTACATTTAAAATGTTAATTACTTCTTCCCTGACCCTCTTTTCCTATTACCCTGCATGAAGGGTACTGGTGGAGATAAATATTACAATGTAGCTTCTAGGTGAGAATATACCTGAACTGACATCACCTCAAGGCAATATGGTGGCTGATGGGGCTTGTTAAGGAAAATCAAAGCTGGACAATAGGTTAAAAGAGTAAAAATAGATTTTTATTCATCACCTTTTGAAACAGGGGGAAAAGAGACCTTGGTAAAGAACTGGGCTCAATTCTGAATATAGTAAGGATAAGTGGGGATTTATAGCCAAGGAGCAGGTAGTGAGGGTGGGGGTAGTGAATGGAAAATTACTAAGAGAAATCAAGGGTAGGGGAAATCCTTGCTAAAGTGACTTAGCAGGATTCTTGCTAACACTGACTCTGCAAGGATGAACACTGCAGCCCAAGGTCAAGATCTAATTAAGCTGATCTCTTTGTACAGCATCACCTGGGCTCTCCTCAGCTGGTTTCCATTTGGATTTGGACTGTGGGAGGCATTCAGGCAGATGGGAGGCAGGAGGAAAAAGACATCAGGGTATATTTTCTCTGTTCTTTCTCTGTTTGGGGCTGAGTATCTGGCATTGGTTGTGTTTCTCCACAACTGCAGCTCTTGGCAAGTGGTCCCTTCTCCATGGCTCCAACACCATGGCCTCTGGAAACACTTTTTCCCCTTACTATGTAGCCTAGAGAGAGCACAATCTTCCTGCTGTTGCTAGACTCTGGATGCCTCACCTGGATGGTTTTCTTAACTTGGCCCTTTTAAGTAGTGGCTTCACTAAATCTCTTTAGTCAAACCACTGATTCCTGATGGATACACCTTAACCTGAACACACACATTATAAATATTCTTGTATGTATGATGTTGTTCACAATTTTAAAACATAAGTGGAAAAAAGTGACCATAGAAAAATATGCCCAGGGAATTGAGAAAAAAGTCTTGGTATAGATATTGGACACATTTTATAAAATGTGGAGTAAGAGGGTAAAAGGAAACTTATTTCAGTATCAAATGGCATATAACTTTAACAAGTATGTGAATTATTTTCAGTTGTATGAATTTTTGAATTTATATGTGTATATTTTTACACATATATGTGTTTTATATCATCTTGCATTATAGTGTGAGGATTTTTATGTTGCTACATTGCATTTACATTTACTTTTTTTTTTTTTTTGTTTGAGACGGAGTTTCACTCATGTTACCCAGGCTGGAGTGCAATGGTGCGATCTCGGCTCACCACAACCTCCGCCTCCTGGGTTCAGGCAATTCTCCTGCCTCAGCCTCCCGAGTAGCTGGGATTACAAGCACGCGCCACCATGCCCAGCTAATTTTTTGTATTTTTAGTAGAGGCGGGGTTTCACCTTGTTGACCAGGATGGTCTCGATCTCTTGACCTCGTGATCCACCCGCCTCGGCCTCCCAAAGTGCTGGGATTACAGGCATGAGCCACCGCGCCCGGCCCTACATTTACATTTTTAACAGCTAAAGGATTTTCAATAAGTGTCTATATAACAACTTCCATTGCTGGAGATATATATATATATATATATATATACACACACACATAAATATTTATGTATATATGTGTATACACTGAGTTAAGTAGATAAATATTTTAAAGAAAATTGATGTAAAATCCTCAACTCATTTGATGTTCCCTATTCCAGGACAGCAAAATTGCTCAATATTTCCTTGGACCTCCATAAAGAAGCAGTTTTTCAAAAAATAAAGTGTTTGGAAGTTTAAGATGTGCCTAGAGATATCTCCTTTTAAGAGAGATGCTTTCACAAGGATTTGAATTTACCCATTGATCTGGGAACCAGGTTTAGCCAAGAACTTCAGTCTGTGAAGGACTGCAAATAGTTGCACAGTGTGGAACTGAGGCTAGAAGCTCCTTAATATTAAATCATTCTGCGATGATGCTCCCCAAAATTTGGATTTTAATCTTCACTCCAACCCTGGTGCACCTCTGTACCTTGGATATGACCCGGACACAAGCTTTGTGTAAGCCTTCTTTGGACTTTGTCCATTCCTCTATGGTGACACCATGTGGCAGTGTAATGCAATGGCATCAATGGACTCAGATCCTGTTCTCTCCCTACCTAGAGATTTTTTTAAATTGAGATATAAAATTTACAACCATAAAATGTACCACCTTAAAACGTACAATTTAATGGTTTTTAATATATTCAAAAAGTTTTACAACCATCACCACTAATTCCATAACATTTTCATCACCCCTGAAAGAAACCTCATACCCATTAACAGTCACTTCCC